GCTTTAGCTCTTGAGCTGTTAGTAAAGTGGGTCATGAGCATGGATGTTGGGAAATCCTTTGGGAATTAGATGGACAAGCCTCCTTTTTCCTCTTCAGCTGTTTGTGCTTTTGCTTGGCAAGATTAAATTACACCTAGGACATCTTGTAGAAGTGATGAAAGTCAGATTAGGGAGGGATGGAAACGGCACCTGCAGCCCTGGGGGGTGAGTTTACTTGCCTCCTGGTGGACACTGGTGCTGGTGGCGGCTTGAGTCTGGATGTGGCTGAGAAGCCTTCCCACCCAGTGCTCCAGGCAGTCCTTTGGGGCAGGCGGACACCAGCCCCTGTCACCTCTTTCTTGGCTGCCAAGTCACCGTGTGACCTGCTTCCCCACAGGGCATGCCAAGTGATCAAGGAGTTTTCTCCACCAGGTTGAGCTAAGGCTTGGCATTGCTTTATGTCCTCAGTGAATGCTGAGGGGAGCTGGGGCCTGGCTCTTCAGGCCTGTCTGTGCCGGTGAGCCCAGGGCCAGGCTGGCAAAGACGTCTACCCCTGCCCGGCCCCAGACTCTGCCGTTCTGATTGGTGTGGTCTCCTCATATTGGAAGTGTCTAGAATGTGCTGTGCCTGGTGGATGTGGGGCAAGCTTCCCCTCTCCCCGCATCCCCACTTTGTCCTTTTCAAAAGAGGTGGGGCTTTCCAGAGTCTCTTGTACACACTGCTCTCTCAATTACACGTTTTATTTGAAACGCAAGGTACGGCTTGAGAACACCTTCGCCTGGAACAACCTCAGTCATTACTGAAGTGCTTCTAGAAGTCACTTGACAGAATTAATTAAAAATAAAAGGAGGTGAAGAAATTTAACCCAGATTTAGTCATTATTCCTGGAGTTTTGATTTCATAATTACAAGTGTAGAATATTGATGTAAGTGCGGCTTTAAAGATCACTAATGAAAGGAAGATAGTAAGTGGCCACAAATATGTAATTAGAGGCTGATGAGAAACAACGGCTTGATGATATGAACGTGGATTCTCCTCGATGGTTGGGATACTATTTCCAATGACACCGTCTGACATAAATTCACAAGGAGCTGTATCGAGCATCTGAAACGGAGGACAAGGATGATGTGTTCCGGAAACCGGCTCTGGATGTCTCAGCTCGGGTTGATAAAGGCACTAATGGGGCACATGCACGTGCAACGTTCCAAAAGATACCATTTTGTAAGCTGGATGTGGGACAAATAGTCCTTTAATAGGATTTTAATATTATTTATATATAAATACATTTATGAAAGTTACAGATGGTGATTTGATTTTTTAATCTAAGTCCCCCCAAATTGTATAGTCAAGTTGGTGCAAACCCAACCATTGTCTTAGATCTTCTCATTGGCCAGTTGCTTTCCACAGGAGAGTTACTTTATATCCCTCCTGGTTTTCCAGGTTATGTGGTTATTCTTCCTGCAGCCCCTGAGGGTGGGATTTGAGAGTAGGCTGGAGGGGTGGGAGGGGTCACCTCTTCTCTGCCTTCCCCCTACCCTTTTTACCTTCCATCTCTCTTGCCTCACTGCCCCCTGCTGGGGTCCAGACCCCAGGCTGGGGGCTTTCCAGTGTGCCTGACTCTGATCCTGCCCTTGGAAGGTCACGGTTTGCAAACTGGTTTTAGACATTGGGAGGCCTGGGTGTTTTGATTCATACTTGCAGTGTCTGTGGTTTGTTTCTTGCTATCGGGCCATGGAACATATTAATTTATCTTTAAGTAGATTTATTAAATGAAATATTCATGGGAGCGGGTGCTTCAGTGGGCAGCATTTGGAACAGTGTGCTGAGTACAGTTTGTCCTCCTAAATCTATTAATGCTGATAGGATGTCATTGTCTCCTGTGAAGCTGCGGGGTGAGCTGGGGGCCTAGGCAGGGGACTGAGCTGGCTGCTGGAAGCTGTCTCGCTCGGCTCGGCTCTGGCAGGCTCTGTTCTGAGCAGTCCGTGTGTGTGTGTGTGTGTGTGTGTGTGTGTGTACGTATCCATTCTCTGTCTTCCTTTTTAATGAATACAGAAGCTTCCATTCTAAGAGAGCCTTCTTGTCAGCTTCCAGCTTCTTGTCTAATTCCCACTTGCAGCCACGGCTTGGAGGAGTAATGGGGCTCAGAGGGAAAAGCTGGCTTATGAGTGAAGACTGATCTGTGAGGAGAAGCGATTCGGGGGACTGAGGATGGGAACAGGGGGCAGAATGCTAATACTCAGGAATAAGTGCAGCATGACAGTCCCTGAACTGGGCACTTTCTCTCCTGCTCCCGGGTGGTCCTAAAAGCCACCATTGGAGGTGGATGTTACCATTTCTGTATTTGAGGCTCAGGTTGGTTTAGTAACTTCATTACTAATTTAGTAAGTTCATTTAGTTCCACAGACCTCTGTGGAGGCCTGTCCCAGGGCCAGGGGCTGGGCACGGGGCACAGAGCCGCCATCGCATCGGGCCTTGGTGAAGGCCCCATCTAGCAGATACAGAAACAGGCTTGTGGAGGAGCCGGACGGGGAAGCAGAGCCTCCCTCTGTGTGCTGGAGGGTGCCGAGGAGGGTGTGACGAATCGTGGGAGGCTGAGTCCAGGGCCATCCAAGACAGGCTGGGAGACTGGATAGGAGTTTACCAGACACGTGGGGGCTGGGAGGGGTTCCCCATAGTACAAAGAGCAGGTCCAAACATATAAGGATCTAGGACAGGGTGGGGATGATGGCCTGGTTCAGTTCTGCTCAATTGCCAGAGGAGGGAGGGTGCCGGGTGCCTCAAGCCTTGCTGGGGAGTTCGGACTGTGACTGATGGCAGTGAGCCATTGGAGGTTTTGAAGCCAAGGAGAGGGAGAAGGGAAGCTGGGTATTTGGACAGTTATTCGAGAGGCACTGCAGAGGCTGGTTTGGAGGGGATGGGGAGGAGGTGGGAAACCTAGGGCTTGGGGTGCTCAGGCAGCCAGGAAGTCACCGGGGTGAGGTGAGGGGAGCATGGGGGGTATAGGAGGTAAAAGGCATAATTTGGCATCTGTATTGAGGAATACCAGAACTGGTTGAGAAGTCATGAAAAAGAAAACATCAAAGAAAGGAGTCAGGAAAAGGATAAAGGGAAATAGCTCATTAGAGAAACGTGAATACATTTGAAAAAGACAAAGAGTTATAAGAACGAGGACCCTAACACAATAGAAAAGTTTCTTCAAGTGTAGTGGTGTTTCTGAAATCTAAGCAGATGGAAAGAGAAAAGCAAACACTTAAGTGAGGGAAGACAAAAATAGGTTTGCTGCCAAAAGCAGAACCTAAAGTCGGGAGAAGTGGACGGGGCAGTGGGCCCCCACTGCGGGGCCAGGAGAGGTGGTTCTTCTGGGGACCTGATGGCTGAAGGCTTTGGGGGCGCAGTCTGAGCGGGAGATGTGCTGAGACGGACGAGGAAAGGACAGAGGTAGATGGGAGGCTGGCTCCTACCTGCTTGAGGACCTCGGGGCACTGCCCACACAGGGCTTTCCTCCAGCCGGCAGAGCCCCTGTGACCAGGTGAGCAAGCCAGTCAGGGGAGCCGCAGGGCCTCTCCCTTCACTCTTGCTGTCCTGGAGTCCCCATGGTGAGGGCTGAGCAGCACACAGCCTCCTCGCGGGCTTGTCCTATCCTGTGAGCTGCCAGGGAAGAAGGGAAGTCGAGGGGGTCATCAGCAGATCTCTTGTGAGGGCTGAGGTTGGAGGAGGATGAGCATCTAGCCTTCGGGCCTGGGCTGTATATACTGAGTGCCTCTGGTGTGCAGTGAAGTGTTTTAGGTGTCGGGGGTGGGGCGCACGGAGCAACAGAGAACTCGCAAGACCTACAGGAGCACAGTGCATGGAAATTTGGTAGCTGCACAGGGGATGAATTCAAAACTGGGGATAACGTCAGACCAGGAAAACCAGCTCTCTATATAGAGTCCTGTTAGTTGTCTTACCCATTCTTTTAGCTGCTTATGCTGCTTGTGGTTGCTGTTAAGAAAGAGGATGCGTTGGGCGCCTGGGTGGCTCAGTGGGTTAAGCCGCTGCCTTCGGCTCAGGTCATGATCCCAGGTCCTGGGTTCAAGCCCCACATCGGGCTTTCTGCTCAGCAGGGAGCCTGCTTCCTCCTCTCTCTCTGCCTGCCTCTCTGCCTACTTGTGATTTCTCTCTGTCAAATAAATAAATAAAATCTTTAAAAAAAAAAAAAAGAAAGAAAGAGGATGCGTTTATACCTGAAAGAGCGCGGACTTGGTTCAAGTTCTGGCCCTGCTGCTCAGTAGCTTTGTGACCTTGGAAAAGCATAACCTCTTTGAGCATCTGCTTTCTCACTTGTAATTGTGATAACTGATAATCATAATAGAGCTCTGCGAGGGACGGCTGGCTCACTGAAGTCCCGGGTTGTCATGGGTATCCATGTGTGGGAAAGCGTTTCATACCGTGCAGTGCTCTGTTCAGTAGCTGCTGACCTTTCTAGATCCTAAGTGCTTTGCAGGAAGTGGTGCCTGGTTAGTCGTCTAGCTCTCACAGCATCTCCAGAGTGTCTGGGGCCCTCAGGACATGCTGGCAGAATTGATGCATGAGTCCGCTGTGACACTCTGTGTTCCACGGCCATCTTCCGGGGGTCCTCTCCCTGTCCACACTGGTGGACGGGAAGGTGGGGCATTGGACACATGGAGTGGCCCCTGGGAGTGGCGATGCCTGGCCAGCACCAGCCGCCCGGCCTGAATCTCAGTGCCAGACATTGGCATGTGGCTTCGGTTTCCAGGTGGCCTGGTTTGGAGTTCAGAAGCAGAAAGCAGACTGGGGAGGGCTCCCACACCTCTTCCACTGTGTGCACCCCCGACATGCATGGGGACACAGCTCTCACCCGTGGGGCCCTGTCCTTACAGGCAAGCCTTAGCTGACTCCCTGTGGTTCCTCGTTTCCATAGCTCCGGCCTGGGCCATGCTACCCGTGGCCCTGGAGGGGCCTGTGCTGGGGGTCTCGCATGGGTCTGCTCACTCCTGCGGTTTCCTCGTGTCCTGCTGCAGGTTGTCTTCCACGACGTGGGTGTACTGACGGACAAGCTCTTCCCAGTGGTGGAGGCCATGCAGAAGCACTTCAGTGCTGGCTCGGGGACCTACTACAGCGACTCCATCTTCTTCCTCTCGGTCGCCATGCACCAGATTATGCCCAAAGGTAACCTGGACGCAGGCCCCTAGCCCTGGTTTCGGACTTCCGTGTCTCTTCCCCTGGCTCCAAAGCGGCCGGTGCCCTGAATCAGGGAGAAGAACTCCACTGAGACACGAGGGAGAGGGCCAGCCACAGCCTTTGTGTCACAGCTCTCTGCCTAAAGACTCAAGGACATGGCCCTGGGGGGCACATCTGCTGTGCCCCACTCATGAGGACAGTGGGACTTGTGCAGTGTGCTGTCCCCAGACTCAAGCAGGGCATCTGGGCTCCAGGCTTGACCTAGCTCCTGCACACACCCCAACCCCCAGGACTCAGTTTGCTCATCTATCTGTAAAGTGGCAGGTTAGGCTAGGGGAGTTTCCATTCAGATCTGTGATCCCATTCTCTAGTTTGTACCTGGACTTATCTGACTTTAAGATATCCAATCTACATGTGAGAGGTGCAAATTAGAACTCAAGAGTTGTTTTTTTTTTTTTTCTTTTAAAGATTTTTAAAATTTATTTGACACACAGAGAGAGAGAGAGCGAGCGCGAGAGAGAGAGGGAATATAAGCAGGGAGAGTGGGAGAGGGAGAAGCAGGCTTCCCGCTGAGCAGAGAGCCCCATGTGGGAGGGAGCTCAATCCCAGAACCCTGATTATGACCTGAGCTGAAGGCAGACGCTTAATGACTGAGCTACCCAGGTGTGCCATAACTCAGAATTTTCTGAAACTTTGATGCACAACCAGAGGATTTTCTGGGCTTTGGTCCTTCTGGGGCAGAAGAGATTGATTGTCTGGTCCATGATAGGTCGGACTTGTGTGGAAATGCTGGCAAGTCTGGTCATCCTTTAATTAGAACCCTTGGAGGTTTCTTGTTAGTGGGGTGTCCCAAGCTGCTGGGTTCTCTTCCTCCTAGCCGTCCTTGATTAATTCTGGAGGGCTGGATATTCCTCCCAGTTTCAGGCCATGGTGAACCATGACCTGAGCCTTTTAGGGGTGTGGAGGGGAGTTCGGGGGTCTTGGGGTAGCTGGGACCTGAACTGTGACTGCTGGGGTTTCCAACAGTCAGACCAGGAAGAACCTGATCCCCCAGGGGACAGCTAGGCCATTTGGAGTAGACCTGCTGCTCCAGCCCAGCAGACCAGAAGTGAAAGAGAGGTCAGGAGCCCCGGTGTTGGAAGGGGCCTGTAAGCTGGAAATTCAGGTTGAACTGGGTTCCCCTTGGCAGCATGGTGTCCCTGGACGCCACAGGGAATGTTAGCCTGTGCACTGTGGCTGCGACTCTGTCTCTGCGAGGCAAGTCCCCGAACCACGGAGGCCTCTGAATATTCTCTTGCTGGAAGGCCAGGGCTCAGGGAGATTTGCTGAGCAGGGAGGGGTCTGAAGGAGAGAGGGCGGCGCGGGGGAAGAGCTAGCATTTGTGCAGCTCTGTGAGTTCACCGATTCTGCCCCCAGCGCTGTGCCATCATAGCTGGGAGACTGAGGGGTGGGCTTGGCCAGGGTCAGACAGCCCTTTAAGCGGCAGGGCTGGGATTTGGGCCCCAGTCAGACTGAGTTGGAGGCCCGCTTCTCTAAACAGCAGCTTCTCTGTCCCCTCAGAGTGCTGTGAGTGGTCCCTCTGGGTAGGACCGGTGCTGGCACCATGGGGAATGCAGATGGAAGGAGGGTGTTCCCGCTGTCCTGGGTTCTAGGGGGAGACAGACACGGTGCTAGTCCCAGCCCTGCTACCAACCACTTGTGTGCCTTTGCTGAGCCACTTAGCCTCTCCAGGCCTCAGTTTCCCCACCTACCAAATGAGAAGATGAAGGGTGCTGATCTAGTGAGCTATTTGGCTTGTGTTTGGAAGAGTCCCGGCCTACAGGAATCCCCCTGTGGGTTTTGGTGGTCCTGGGGAGCTGAGGGAAGAGGGGTTCTACCTTTATCCTACCCCTTACTCCTACCCCTCCCCCGCATCCAGCAGTCCTTCCTGATTACTGCATGGATAAAGCTTTGAAACAGGATTCTATGTGGTCAGAGGACTCCATGATTAAACTCATTTGAAGCATCTTGATGAGAGGGGCCTTCAGGATCCAGCCAGTCTTGTCCTGCATGCATGATTAGTTCAGCAAAATGCTGTGAGGGAAGGACCCACGAGGGACAGCAGGAGATCTGGGAGGAGCTGTGCCTGACTTCCCCTCACTGCCTCCCTTCCCTCCCTCCTCCCTCATCAGCTGGTAGGTCACTTCCCAGCATGGGCTAAACTCCAGGCCAGGTCATGCTTGGGGCCCCCAGAGGGAGGGGAAACACAGCTCCCTGGGGCTGGTGAAGGCAGAGAAGCTGGCTGTGCCTCGCAGCGCCAGGGGGAACCAGGCAGATGACGAGAGTTAGGGAGCCCCCAGATTGCCGTCCCTCTACTCTCTGCCCTGCCTTGAAGCCTGGTCTTGTTCCCGGGAGGGGTGGGCAGTGCCTGCCGGGACGAGGCTGTGGCCAGAGCTTTGCTGTCTTTGCGGTAGATCAGATGCTGGTGTCCCTCCAAGTGCGGTTCATGCGCCTGAGGGGCCTGTGTCCTGTGGGGAAGGAGGGGAGGTGCACAAACACTGAATCCTCTCTTGGGTTCTTCAGGCAAATGACAGTGTGTTGTGCCCAAAGTCCACTTCCTATGAAGAGAGTTTCTGAGAGTTACTAAAATCTGACGGCCATAACACGAAGCCAGCAGTCCTGGAGTTCCTGTGGGGCTGGGCGTCTCTGCTGAGCGGTCTGGCCGCCACACAGCACTTGGCAGCCTGAGAAACTCCTACTGGCCAGGTCCTTTGGCACATCCTGTGAGGTTTGGAAGGATGCTTTGTTTTCATGCACCCTTCATGCTGCCTTGAGTCTGTCCTGGCTCTTTACTTTTTGGTATTCTTTTTTTTTTTTTAAATCTTAGAAATCAGTGTTTTGTGCTTTGTTGACGGTTTTGTTCTAGTACAATTGGTGTGTTTTTGCTATTTTAGTTATTTTGTTTCTTTTACAGAGTTCTTCTTTCTGTAGGAAAGTGAGAAGGGAGTGGGGTGGGTCACAAGTCCTTGGTCCCACCCAGGAAGGCTGGGTCAGAACAGCTTACATTCTGCCGAGTTATATCTCAGGATGTCCTGTCTGATGCTTGCCCCAGACATCCCAGTTAGTTCTCTGTGTGCAAGCCTGTCCTCTCCATCCCCTCTTGGAGCAGTGGGCTCACCCTTCTGCACCTGAACCACCCTGAAGATATGTTTACTTATTCTATCTTATTTTATTTTAAGACTTTATTTATTCGAGAGTGACAGAGCAAGTGTGAGCATGAGTGAGAGAAAGCACAGGCAGGCACAGAGGGAGAGGGAGAAGCAGGCTCCCCACTGAGCAGAGAGCCTGATGTGGGGCTCAATCCCAGGACCCTAGGATCATGACATGAGCTGAAGGCAGATTCTTAACTGACTAAGCAACCCAGGCCCCCTATTTACTTATTCTATTTTAAATGTAACCTTCATAAAAGAATATCTGAAAACTACATAAGAATAGGAAAATTTATCCTTCTACTACTACATAAACACGAACTCCTTCGTTACCTCCTAATATGTTCCCAGCATATAGCTTTTTAAAAACTTAGATGAAGTAAGAGTTATGCCATATATTAAAACATTCTCCATCTTTCCGTGCATATCACAATATGAACTTGGACATTAAGCTCAAAGGATGAAAGAAATGGTGCAAGGAAAGCCATGTCATGACATTCTCAATTAGTGTGACTCATCACCATTTTCTGTGTGGTCACAGTCTTGGAAAAATTTCTGAATGCTTCCATCAAAGTAGATGAACCCCAGTTCACTTTATCATTTCCCTGTTCTCAGTTACCTGGCACTTTGTGGGTTTTTTGTTTTTTGTTTTGTTTTGTTTTACAATCATAAATTATACTGTGATTAATATCCAAATATATAAAGATAATTTTCTCTAATTAGGATTATTTCCTTATGGTAACTCCCCATGGCTGGGGTCACTGGGCCAGAGGTGATCCTTACAAAGCCATCCTGTGTAAGTTGCCCTCTGTCCCTGGGTCACCAGCCTGCACATGAGAGGGTCTGCACGATTTTCTCTGCTCACTGCTGTTGGCCTCTCAGGGGGACCTCCGGCAGCCACATACAAGTGTCAGCACAGTTCCTGTCCCCTCACCAAGACAGGAAGCAAGGAGCTGAAATCGGGGCACTGCTCTGAGTCAGAAGGCATGCTGGGCCTCCTGGCCTGGGTCTGGTGATCTGTCCCATGCTCATTCTGACAGCCAGACCTGCGGGGCTAGCCTCCCACACCCATGTAGCCCCACAGGGCTTACAAAACCTGGTTTCCTCTCTCCTCATCTTGGCTCCTTGCTGCAGCCCTGTGGAGAGGGCCTGGCTGGGCTTGTGGGGGTTGGTTAACCCCGTGTGTTTTGCTCTGATTGTCTCTCTTGAAGCAGCACCACCTAGACCGTGTCTGTAGAGTGAGGACCAAGGGGTCCTGCCTGCCAAACGTGCTGGCTCCGATTTTGGTCAGAGCTCATTTTCCTTCTGGTTGCCTTTTGGCAGGGTCACGTGTGGCTGGCTGGCCCATCCTGCCACCGACAGGCAGCCACTCTGCTCCTCACTCACACCCCCGGGGCTTTTCTCTCCTCATCTTAGTGCTGTTAGGTTTGCCACCGTTGAAAGCATCTTTATGCAATGGAAAAGAAAACATTTTTTGCCCAACTGGAGCTGGAGGGAGTGAAAAACAGCCCCTCAGGGCCCTCCGGCTTCCCTCTCCTGTGTCGTGCGGCTCCAAGGAGCTGTTGGCTCCAGCTGAGCAATAGGGGCCATAAAAATAGGCGTCACCGAGCCTTAGCCACGACGCCTGGCCTGTGGTTGTGGTGTTCTCCCTGGGCAGGGAGGGCAGATGCCCAGATAGTCAGCAGTCGTTAAGGCTGCCCCAATGCCCTAGAAGTCTCTCTTGGAAGGTTCTTCTGTCCTGGGGTCAACCCTTTGCCAATAGACCTGCTTTGCCGAGGGTCTAGTGTGTGCGTGGTGTGG